TGTATTAATATATAATGAGAGCAGAGACTTTCGTACTGATACAAGGAAGCATTTGAGGAACTGAGTAAAACTGTCAGTCAACAACAAAATGCAGAACAATATTTGAGCTTGCCTGCTAACACGTTACCAAGGAATTCTCAGAGTTCAGTCCTTTAAAATCAAACTAAGCAAAAGAAAAGGGCTTTGTATCTCAGCGCATGCTCAGCAGCACAGCAGGGTCAAGGAAAGGAAACTTAACCTTAACTCCGATATACCTGATGAATCAGTACGCTGTGATCAGAAACAGCCGGTAATCAACTGATAAGAACTAAATATAGGATGGAGGAATAATGCTAGGGAGACAGTGGATTGTACTGAATCCAGTGAATTTTAAAGACACATGCAAAAGCAAATACAGGATTAGAGTGATGTCTGTCACTGAGCTTTGATGTGCATAGAAAGAAAACCACTAATGTTTGTTTGAGGCATCAGCTGTTTTCTACCAAAACAGACATTTCCACTCCTTTTTTTAGTTCGATTTTTGTTTAGGAATACTGTTACTTATAGATGAAATTTTCATTCAGCCCCAGTGGTAGCACTCTGTGTTTTTTAGTATGAATAGGAGCACACATTCATAGTATGATGCCCTTGAAGTCCTGATCAGAGATGTAGCTGTGACATTCTATGGACCATTACACAACTCTAAATTAATTGTTTTCCATTTGTGATTGATATTTCATGAGTAATAGTTGCAACATTTTTAGAATCAGCATGACCAAAGTATAGACTTATTTTGGATATATTAACGTACACCCAAAGCACAGAACTAAACAAAACCTAGGTGTCATATCTGATCTAGGTTAAAGCTGGTATACGTTTGAACCTTCTCACAAATCAGTCTGCATACTTTTTTCAATTAGACAGTTGCATACAGAGTACCTTTAAACAATTTCTTCTTTAATATGTAGGAGACAGTTGAGCTCCGTAGTAGATTTGTCCTACGTTTAATGTGAACAATTGGCAGAGAGTTAAGGAGCCCTGTCTCTGTAGGCAGACTGGTGTGAATGCAAATCAGCCTCTGCCTGGGGACAGCTGACAAGCACACTGGGGTCACATCACCTTGGCACTCTAAGCTCATTAAGGGGCATTTGGTAGGTTAAGTTTCACAAAAAGAAATGTCTCCAAAGCTACATGTTAGAAACTCAGCAGGTACAAAAGAAAATATGTATGAAGCTGAGTATTCCACTTTACCATAGACAATACTCCTGGTCAGACATCACACTGCAAAACTGCTGATGTAACCTCAGCCTGGGTATGTGACTGAATAATGAACCATTTCTAACATCCGAAAAGGCCCACTGATTATAAAACTAATTCCGGGGAACAAGGATGTAACAAGAGATTCTACTTGGTCTTCCTGCCAGTTGACTGAGTAGACGGCCAGTGGAGACAAATCAGGCTAAAGCTGCCCACTTGTTTAGGAAATGGCTTTTAGAGTGTTCTTTGCTCTAACTGTACCAAGTACTACTATGAAATTTCTCAGAAGCTGTCTCACAGATAACACAACCTCCATGACAGCAAAGAAGGAATATCTGGAACTGATCCTTTTTAAGAAGCAATGACAAAAAGTCCATTCTAATT